TGGGAGAAAAACATGTGTAGGGGAGCAATGGGAGATTAGATTGGGACCAGAATTTGAATGGTTTACCAGCCAAAGGTGTTTGGACTTTATTCTCCTGGCAGGAGGAAGATACTGAGTTTTATTATTATTATTATTATTATTAAAAGATAAGATGCCTGGGAGCAGGACCCAGTGAGGGAGGCTGGGCATGAGACAATAGGAAGTGGGGACGATAGGAGGGGACTCCACAGCTGGAAAGCCCTATCTAAGGGGACAGTCACTGCTCAGGTCTTGCCCACTGCTGCCATGTGACAGTTGAGCACCCTGTGTTGCCAGATCTTTGGTTTTCCAGAGAGGCTATAATCTGAGGTTTTGGTCAGTTTGGGTTTTCTCAGTTTAAAATAGAGCCACAAATTCAATTTTTTGAGAAAATTGCATCACGAATGAACATGTATGGTGAAACAAAACTTTCACGTGGAGGGCCTGAGGGCTTGTGACATCTGGACTAATAAAAGTGATGATGTGGAAACACTGATTTGGTGGAGTGTGCAAGGTCGGCTTGCAAGGCTATTCCCGGCTCTGCTGCCTCTTCAAAAACTTATCTTGCCTGGTCAGGTTTGGTTTCATTTCTTTACTCAACGATGCTCTCATATTATCAACAAGGCTGTTAAGTCCTTACAGGTGGGCGTCTTATCTTTGAACACACCACAGGATAGAGCACACTGCCTGGCTGTCAGAGGGTAGGGTAGACAACCTGGTGAGAAATTAGCTCCCTTCTTCTCCCTCCTCTAAGTCTGGTCCTCAAAGAATTAGGGGTATTGTCTCCTCCCTTCAGCCCCTCAGGGTTGCTCTACCCTAGGGATTTGGGTTTCCCTTGCCCAACGTCTAGTGGATGGCCTCCTAAAGAAGGTGAGACCTAGGGGCACCTGGGTGGCTCAGTTGGTTAAGCGACTGACTGCCTTCGGCTCAGGTCATGATCCTGGAGTCCCTGGATCAAGTCCCGCATCGGGCTCCCTGCTCAGCAGGGAGTCTGCTTCTCCCTCTGACCCTCCCCACTCTCATGTGCTCTCTCTCATTCTCTCTCTGTCAAATAAATAAATAAAATCTTAAAAAAAAAAAAAAAGAAGGTGAGACCTATGCCCAGTTCCCCTAAAATGCCCTTGGAGGTAAAGAACCTTCTATAGGAATGCCTGAAGATGGCCAAGTGCTGACCACTAAAGGCCACAACTAGGCAGGAAGCTGGAGGTCCTGTGGTGGAGACCATGGCTGGCCTGTGTGTGATGAGGGCCTCTCCATGGGCCCTGGAAGCAGCAGATGTCCAGAACCAGACATAGAGGTAAGTGGTAACCAAAAAACAGAGGAGGACCCTAACCTACTTTCCTGGTACCATATAAGGTCTAGAGCTCTTCTACCATCACCTGGGAGAAGAAGGGAAACTCCAACAGTGGCTAATGTCAGTCATCTGGTCAACCAGACACAAGCAGATTTAGAAAACAATTGGCACTATTGTGCCAATCCCGTGGGCACCTGTGAAATGTTTGTAGATGGCAGGAGCTCTACCAGCAATGGAAGTTGAGGGAGGTGGGAGAGGGGAGTTGGTAGAAATGGGAGAAGTGACCAAGCCTTGGATCACCAGAAACATGTCACCACCTCTGCTTATCCCAGAGGGGCACTCATCCTTTGTGATCATTTTCCTAGAGTCAACAAGGAAAAATCATAGCTTTTCCACTTTATATACACTTAAAATAATGATTTTTTTTTAAAGATTTTATTTATTTGACAGATAGAGAGTACAAGTAGGCAGAGTGGCAGGCAGAGGGAGAGGGAGAAGCAGGCTCTCCGCTGAGCAGGGAGCCGGACATGGGGCTCGATCGCAGGACCCTGGGATCATGACCTGAGCCGAAGGCAGCCGCTAAACCGACTGAGCCACCCCGGTGCCCCAAAATAATGATTTTTTTAATGAAGGGTAAGAGACCTACCAAAAATTCCAAAATCATCAATGCAAATCTCAATGAATTATCTCTAAATGAACAGACCATGTCAAAAACTGGTCAAAAAACAGAACATTGCCTACCTTCCCAAAGCCTGCCCTGTGGCTCCTTCTGGTCACCACCCTCACCTTCCTCCTGTGATGGCAGCCACTCCTGTGACTGCCAGCCCTTAGATTTTTTCAGCCTGCTTTCGAATTTTACGTAAAAGAAATCCTGCAGCGTGGACTCTGTGTCTGGTTCCTTTCGCTCACATCGAGTTTGGGAGTTGCATCTATGTTGCTGCATGAAGCTTTACTTTGTTCATTTCCATTGTTGCATAGTATGGAAATACCCCAATTTATAAAATCCCCTTGATGGACATTTGGGTTGTTTCAAGTCGGAGACTATAACAAAGAGTGCTGCTGTGAATGTTCTTGCTGGTGTCTGTTGGTGGCTTAGGGTTGGTTTTTAAACCTTCAAGAAGGCAAAGAGCAATCTTAAGAGAGTAGTGGAATGATGGGGAGTCCTGGGTTCATCTCACCATAATTACTCATGATTATAACATTTTACTGAACTAAAATGATCTGAAAATACCCTGTGACAGTTCCCAGCATTTTCCTTGTACTCGGTATAGCTACACGTAGACACTTAAAAACTCAAAAAGAGTCAGAAATGGAAGCAATCCTCTCTGTCACCCAGCCCAGAATTTCCCAAACTTCAGTTTTACGAAGGCGGTCTTTGTGATTTTTGCTGTATGCTTGTACCACGTGGACTATCACTTCATATTTTTCTTTCAACTGTCTAACTTTTAACATTCGAAGATCCACTCTTGGGGCGCCTGGATGACTCAGTCGGTTAAGCATCTGACTTCCACTCAGGTCATGATCTCAGGGTTCCCCGCTCAGTGGGGAGTCTGCTTGTCCCTCTCCCTCTGCCTCTCCCCCTGCTTGTGCACGCTCTCTTTCTCTCAAATAAATTAATTAAAATAAAATAAAGATCCACTCTTGCCTTATCCTAAGAAATAACAGCTATGAACTCATAGCTTTGATGGGTGGCTACATTGCTTTTATTATACATTAAAACAAACATGTAATTATACAGATACGTTTGTCAGTCCGCTACCTGTGTGAGATATTCTCTGTTGCCTCCTTCTGGTCCATTGCTTCCCCTGTTCTGTCTGGAAGCTGACCTCCACACACTGCCTCCATCGGCTCCCTTGCCCTCTGCCTTTGCATGTGTTCAGCTGAGAGGCACTGAACGGGGGCTAGAAGTCAGGGCATGTCTCCCTACCCCAGCTGGTGGTTGGCTCCATTCTCTATCAGAGTCTACAGGTCTGGCCTGGCAGCCGTCTCTACAGTGAATAGTGTTATCTCCTTGCCTCTCCAGATGTTGCAGTTCCCTGGCATTTTACCATTTCTTGGCTCCCTTTTGTGCCCATCCCTTTATAAACAATCCCTTACTCAGCCTTCTTCAACTTCCCCTTTCATGAGGCCATCTGTTTCCTGCTAGGAGGGATGTGATATCAAGCACCATCAATGGTGGGCATGCATTCCTTGTTCTGTACAGGCGCTAGCTGAGACCCAGGAGGGAGCTCATGAATCCAAGCTCCCCCCCGCCGCCGGCGCCCTGAGTGCTGGAGCTGGGAATGATCTCCTTGGTTCAACGGGTTTTTCACAGTGGATGCTGCTCCTCAGGGGAGAAACTGGTCAGTTCTGCTAAGTGTTCAGGTGTTCAATATTGCAAGTCCTCTTTCTAATCCTCTCTCTCTTACCCTCTCTTCCCTGTCCTAATTTTCTTTTTTTTTTTTTAAAGATTTTATTCATTTATTTGACGGAGAGAGAGAGAGAACAAGTAGGCAGAGAGGCAGGCAGAGGGAGAGGGAGAAGCAGGCCTCCCGCTGAGCAGGGAGCCGGATGCGGGGCTCGATCCCAGAGCCCTGGGATCATGACCTGAGCCGAAGGCAGCGGCTTAACCGACTGAGCCACTCAGGCGCTCCCTAACTTTCTTTTTTTTAACTGTGCCCCAGACCAAACTGGATCTCAGCTCCCTTATTTTTTCCCTCCCCTAACCTAATACTGACATACGGCATGCATCAGCCCTCCCAGCGCCCATACCTTTGTTCAGACATACCTGCATTTCGCTTCTCTCCTTTGATCATGAATCCTTCCCAGAAAAGGCCCAGAGGCCTGACCCAAACATCTCTTCCTCTATGAGCCTGCTGTGTAAACTTTTCCCTCTGTCCAGAAATAATCATTGCTTCCCCTATTCTCCCATAGCTCTACCTTAGTACTGGCCCAAGTGGTAACGAGTTGTGTGTGTGTTTTTCCTTGACGACACCGCGGTCCCTTCTCTGAACGATCATGCTGAACCCCTTGGAATGACCAGCACCCAGCCCCGAGCCTGGCCCAAACCCTTCGCAGTGCTATGTTGAATTAAATTGCATTCATTAAGCCATTAAGAACATTAAAGCATGAAAGATGTTCTAAGAGGTCACAGATGAATTCCTACCCTACTAATTTGTAGTGATTACTTATTTTAAAATGGTACGTTGAGGGTGTGGTCTGAGTTGAGGGTGGAATCAGGGGTGCCTCCCCCAGTTTCTTATTCTTCCCCCGCTGGAAAGGGGTGAGGAAATGGTCATCCAGTTTCATTATGGGTTATGGGTCCTCCAGCTGAGGTCCTCAGATGAGCAGCATCGGACCCACACACTGTGGAGTGAGTGTGCAGGCACCGTGTACATGAGAGGGAACAGAAGGGGGGTGGGGCTCAGAGTGCTCTTTGAATGCCGGAAGGCGCCCAGCTCCAAAGAGCACTTGGACTTTGGACATAAAGGAGGGCTTCTTGATAGCCAGTGTCTGAGGTCAAGTTAAAGCTCCTGTGAATTATAAATTGTCCCTTCTCTTGGGTTTTTCCTCTGTGCATGGATCTCCCATGGGGGAAGGGATGTGCATGGATCTTCCTTGAGGAAAGGTAGCTTTGGCCTCAGGAGGCAGCTTATCTGGGATCTAGGCATTTGAATGCAGAGTTATGACCCTGTCCTTTTTCTTGCAGACATAGTTCTTGTGAGCATCTGTCCGGGGCCTGAGCTTGGGAGGCAAGTCTGTTGTAGAGAGCATCCAGCAACTATACCAACAAGGGCCTCCATGTTTACCACTGATGATGGGCTCACCCACAGGTAAGTCAATTCCCAGCTCTGAGCACTTCAGGGACCTTGAACTGTGAGCTAGGGTGGCTGCATGCTGTCAGGACAGGGTTCTCCAAAGGGGCCAAGATCTTACATGGTGATCTTACCTCTTGGGAAAGCTGGAGGTTGGCTCTCCAGGGCAGGCTCCCCACAGGGGAGCAAAGAATTAGGATGGAGCACTGGGTTTGGGATTGATGGGTGGCCTGGGGCTTATTGCTCACTATTCTCTTCTCTTTATTCTGTCTCACCCCGAGCTGAGGGAAGAGGCCTTGACAATGGATAGAATTTAGGGGATCCTGACCATGGCTTCCAACCCAGCTAGTGGCAGTGTACCCAGAGGAGCTCCCTAGCTCTTGTTCTCTCTCAGGTCCTCTGGATACCCTCCCCACTGCACCTTACCCTGGGATACTGCCCCACACCTGGGCCGTCACAGCCCCCTCCCCGCCATGCACGCTGAGGAAAGGGCCCCAAACTGGACATCGGGCGCCCTGGGTGTGAGTCTCACTTCTGCCAACAACAACTACTGTGTATTCTTGGGCAAGTCCCTTAACCTCTCTGGGTCTTGATTCCCTCAGCTGTAAGAGGGAGATAATAATCCTGTAAGGCCCTCAGTGTTACTTTGGGGATCAAGATAATGAGTGTGAAAATCTTTCATTTACTCCAAATGTGATTAGCATTTATTATTATTTGTCCTGGAAACTCTTCCTTCCTCGGGGCCCTGCTAAGTGAACCAAAGTGTGAATGGTTAATAATGAACTTTTAGTTTCTCCTTCCAGACAATTATTTGCACTTATAACCAAGATGTTCCATGCCTGCATTCAGAGGAAAGAGTAGGGAATAAATTCGAGGTTCACAGGCATGCTGGCAAAGAGCATCCTCCCAGCAGGAGGTCCTGCTTCCTTCACTGGATACTCTGCTGGCATCATCATCTCTCCTCATGAAAGGATGGACATTGGTATCTACGTCAGGGAAGTCTTTGTGCAGAAGGCTGAGGGGAGAAGAATGTCCAAGGACAAACATTTGCTGGTGAACCCAACTTCACAAACGTCCTTCATTGGTCACACTTGCTTGGTACCCAGCTGATGCGTCCATGAGACTGTTCTCAGCCGAACACACCACAGCATTGGGAAAGGGAAAGAATTCTTTCCCTGAATTCCTGTGTTATGCTGGTGAAGGGAGAGAAGACTGCCAAAAATTTCGTAACGTTTGAAGGCCCCTGTCCTGGTGCAGGTATTTGTCTGCATTCGGATAGGTCGGTGGCTGCTTTCTCTCTTGCTCAACACTTCCTCCTGCATTCCGTCCGCATTCTTGTTTCCCATCCAAAGGCCTCCACTCCTTTTCCAGCAATTTCTGTTCTCTAGGCCCCCATCTCCTCCTCCTCCCATGAATACGGACCCAGGTATATCTGAGACTTTCCTCGTTGACTTTGGCACAGCCCCCCATTGCCTCTCCCAGAGTCTGGTTCATAAATTCATTCTTCCATCAGTCTAACTCAATTCTAGATGTCACCCTCCTGTTTCCCAACTCTCCTCAGGTTCCTCACTATCTACCAAATTAACTGCCATCCTCTAAGACTTGCCTTGGAGGCTGTCCTCCCCCTAGTCCCCAGGGAAGCTGCTGGTACAGACCTGGGCTGGCCACACCGTTTCCCCGGGTTGGCACAGCCTGTTCAGGGTACAGAGCCCCAGAAAGAGGCATTTGACCCCAGATATTGGCCCATTGTTCCTGCTGGCCTCCGTGCTCTCTCAGGCACCTGCTAGGCCCAGCCAGCCTTTTGGACCTCATCTACTTTTCCCTTACTCCTGCCTGCCCTGCTCCCTGGCCCAGTGCCCTACTCACGCCTCTCTTAAAAACCTCTCCATAGCCTGTCTCTGTACATTTGTTATACCATTCCTTCCACCCAAAGTTCTTTAATTTACCCCTCACAGTGCCCCCTGCCCCAGCCCCCCAGCCCATCTGAGTGGCACTTCCTCAACCAAGGGAGCATGGATGGAGCACGCTCATATGGTAGGGGATCTGGGCCAGCTGTTTACCACGGGACCCAAGCTGCTGGCCGTGTCTTTAGATTTTTCCTCTTGGGCTGCTCAGACTCCCCAGAGAGAAATCTTCCAGGCTCTTGCCTGGAGGGTGGGGTCAGGCTGCGTGTGTGTTTAAGCCCCAAGTGGCAAGAAGGGCCGGGAGTCCTTAAGTTTAAAAATCAATGACATCAGTCCTTAATCCTTCTGTTTTCCATGCTGTACCCCGCACTTAGAGGCCCCCATCCCGAGACCCACTCTTACCCTCTCAGGGGAGGAAAACTGCAGACTTCTGCTGGGGCAAGACAGGGGCAGGCACCCAGCCGGAAGGAGTCGGAGCCTGCCTCAAGGGACATAGAGACTGCTTCCCAAGGGCAAACACTGCTTGCAGTGTGTTCAAAGTAATTTACATATATAAGCATATATTTACATATTCACATATTTAAGTTTACCCCTCAAACCACACTTCTCCCAGCTCTCTGCACTTAACCCCACCCATCTGAGTCTGACTGTCTGACGCCCTGACCTCTGGTCCTAAGCTCCTGGGGCTCCCACTTTCTCCTTTTGAGGAGCCTGTGGTATGAAATGTTCATCCTAGCTTTCTCCAAGTCAGGCTTGGAATCGGGCTCAAAAGTCTGCCTGGTCCGTTATTCCACATCTGTTTGCTTTCCTACTTCCAAAATGTTAGTGCCGCTGTCTCCTCATAAAATCCTTTCCTGAGAAACATCACTGCATGTACATTCATGGGCTAACTGATGTTGATGCATCTGGAGAGAGCTGTCCACCCACCTGACCCGCCACAGCCAACTCGGCACCCTGACTTCGAGACCCTCCCAGACTTTTCCCTATGGGCCTCTTCATTTGGCTGGTCCTGATCTATAACCCTTACAATAAAACCAAAGTTGTAAGTCTAGCACCTTTCTGAGTTCTGTGCATTATGCCAGTAAACATGCTCACGGGGGGAGTGGGAAACCCCAAATCTGTAGCCGGTTGGTCAAAGCATGGGTGGCCTGGGGACCCCTGAACTTTTGTCTGGCATGTGAAGCCAGGGCAGTGTCGCTGGAGACCGTCCTTCACCCGTGTAGCGTGCACTAACTCAGGGCAGTTAGCTTCAGAACTGCATTGCAGTCCTGCCCACACAGCCGGGTGCTAGGGACGAAGAGGTCACAGAGGGCCAAGTGACGTTTTCCGGACTTCACCTGCCCTTGCAATCAGGGCCTTCTCCTCCACGGCCAACCTCAGACGTAATGGACTATGCGAGTTTCCCCAGGCCTGATAGGTACAAATGAGGTTGTGTTCATGACCTTACTTCTCAGCTTCTTCCCTATATCCAGCCCTGCAAAGGGCCCGTGCCCATGGGAATTTCTGGGGGTGCCTGGGTGGCTCAGGTTTGCTCATGAACAAGTCTGGTCCGCTCTTTCTGAGGTCTGCTGGACACTGCTGCTTCCCCGGGGTGACACCATTTTGGATATATTCTGCTTGCCTGTTTGGATGAGTTGTATCATCCAGGCTGTTTTGTCCTGGCTTCGGGTCAGGTTCAGCGCATGGTAGGCACTGGAGGCAGGGGTTGGAGGAGCGTGAGGTCAGGGTATTTATTCCCTGCTCCCTCCCTGCAGGGAGTTGGCTGATTCTCCTAAGAAAGTCTACAGCTGGCGCAGTTGGGGCGCCTGGGTGGCTCAGTGGGTTAAGCTGCTGCTTTTGCTGCCTTTGGCTCAGGTCATGATCTCAGGGTCCTGCGATCAAGCCCCATGTGGGGCTCCCTGCTCAGTGGTGAGTCTGCTTCTCCCTCTGTCCCTCCCCTTGCTTGTGTGCACACGCTCTCTCTCTCTCAAATAAATTCTTAAAAAAAAAAAAGAAAGGCTACAGCTCTTATCGGGTGGCCCATATGCTAACCGCTCCCTCACTAGTCCCCTGGAGGGCTGGAGGTAAAAGCTTCACCACCCCTTGTGGGTTTCCCTCTACACTGCCCACAGCGTTGTAAATGGTCCTTCTCAAGCTCTCCTCAGATGGCCATGTTGAGAGGCCATTTGCTTCCTGTTGAGACCCTGACCACACAGACATCACTGCTGTTTCCGCTGGATACACATCCTCAGAACCACCCCCCTCCCCAGGGACATCACCAATGATCCTACGGCATCCTATTAAAAAGCAGAGCTGCCCTCATGCCCACGGTGCACGGTTGCCTCTGGCAGTGCGGGAGGGACCCCCTCTCCCTGTTCTGTGTCCCTCTGCAACAGGGCCTCAGAGAGGTACTACTCATGGCCCCAGTGGTTTCTAGCATTTTGAGGGAAACAGCTCCTTCTGTTTGACGTGCATGAGGCTGAGGGAGGAGTCCCAAGACGGGGAGGTGCTGAGCTGGAAGGAGCTAGGGCACCATGCTCTCACAGACAAGTGCTGCATTCGGGCTGGGGGCCGGAGCCAGGGGCTGGCCGAGCCACTAAATGGCTGTGTGACCTTGGACAAGTCACTCTCACTTTCAGGTAGGTTTCCTCTCCCATATCACAGGGGTTGGACTCGGTGATTCTCAAACTGCTCTGGGTCCCCAGCTTCCCTTTGGCCAGAATAGCTCTTGTTTGATCTATTCTTAGAATCTGGGCTTTTGTGAAGATTTCCTTTAAAGTATGATTCCATTGCTTTAAAACTGTTGGAAAACATCTGGACTAGAAGGTTCTAAGGTCCCTTCCAGTCTCAACATTTTTGAACATAAAATCACCCTTGTCTTCCTCAGCATTATGCCAGGGAGGGTCTGGTTCCAAGATTTAATGGGAAACTAATGATTAAAGGCCCATCTCCTGCCAGGCTCTCTGCCATGGCAAATCTACCATGACTGGGTAAATGGTTTTGCTCCCTCCCCATCCATCCTCAGCACCTTCTCACTTACTTCTCATTTACTTCTGCCACTATTCCCAGGTGAGGAAAAAGAAAGGGAAATTTTAAATCAGTTGCATAAAATGCAAACCAGCCCGGTGAACAAAAATGTGAAAAAAGATGGGGGCTTTAACAGGTTGACCTCGGGAGCCTTGCAAAGCCTTCATCCATGGCGATGGAAGCTGGCAGCCCCTCAGTAGTCTGTCCCAGACATTTGGTGCTAGAGAGGATTATAGAGCAGTGATTGATAGTTTGGACTCTGGGGTCAAAAGGATATGGGTCAAATTCTGGTGCCAGCATTAACTCATTGATTGATATTGACTGAGTTACTTAACCATGCTGAACCTTTTCTCATAATCTGTAAAATCAGAGTAATAATAATAATATCTACCTTATAGAGTTGTCATGAAGATTAAGTGTGAGATAATACATGTGTGATGTTTAGCACAGTGCCTGGTACATAGAAAGTATCCAAGAAATCAGCTATTTATGGTTATTGTCATTACACTATTTCTCTTGGCTTCCAGGAAGCGCAGAGGTCAGATCTCAATCAAGTGTTTAGCTGAGAACCCTCCTAAGCATCATTCTCTCCCCCTCTGCTCCATGTCATAGCTTCTTAACATGGTTATCACTTATCGAATTCTTAGTATATGGCAGAACTTAGAGACACTACCCAACACCTAGCACAGTGCTGGGAATACTATCGATAACTCGATATATGATGGTAGAATAATCGAATGATCTTATTCAATACTCCCAGCAACTCTGAGAAGTAGGTATCATTGTCTCAATTAGAGGAGACATGTTTTTGTCATAATTGTGCAGCATGTGCGGCTGCTTCCTGATTGTGGGGCATCTGCTCTTGCAAGAGGGTCCCCCTCTGGATGCTGGGATGGTGGAAAGCTCCCCTTGACCTCTGGCAGCAGAAGCATGGACATATGAACTAAAGACAGCCAATCAGATCCTCCCCTGAGACTTTTAAATCCAGACTGAACAATGTAATCAGAATCCCTTCTGGTGGGGCTGACCGCTAGGGCACCCAGTGGCCTGTGGCTTCGGTGGCCCCAGGGCCAGCAGTGACAATGGTGCGGCAGAGGGCCCCGGGCCCAGCTACCTGCAATTCATTTTGAAAGGGGGGAGAAGTATTGTAAATGACATTATATGATGTTAGTTTCGCAAGAAAGTTTCTACATCTTGCCGGCCTTTCCAGTGTTCCCTTTCCTTCTGTAGATTGTGTTTCCTTATCATTCAATCCACTTCCCTCACTCCCAAGGGACTCCTCTCTCAGGACGCTTGCCCTCCATCTCTTCGGCAGGTGTCCAGATGGCTCTGATTGCCTCTAAGAAGATGAAGCAACACCTCTCCAGCTTTTCTACTCCTCCCCCCCCCACTCCATCCTCCTTCTGCCCACTTTATGCTCAAACTACGCCAACTCAGGGCAGTTGGTGCTCTTCTCCTTTAGCAGATGAAAACCCCAGGAGGAGTCTTTCTGTCACACACAGACGTGCTGGGGTTGAGAGCTGCCTCATACATTTTTCTTAAGGAAAAAAGGCCTTTGAGCAAACCGACATCGGTTGGCTTTTGTTGATTTCTTTTTCATTCCCTTCTTGAACTCCTCCTTTGCACCAGGCATGTGGTAGACTCCATGGGGGATCCTGAGGAAAAAACACATGTACGTAAATAAGAAAAAGAATATTGGGCTTGGCATTAGGAGACCTGGGATGGAACCCTGGTGTGGTCGCTCACTATCTGCCAGAACTTGGATAGGTTCCCTTACCTCTCTGAGCTTCGGTCTCCTTCTCTATGAAATGTGCCCATCCACACACATATTCTATGGGTTACTGGGAAGCTTAAAGAAGAGGGCATTTAAGCACTCATCAAAATCGCCGGTTCAAGGGAGACATCCCATAGAAATGTGTTTCTGTCCATTGAAAGCACCCCCTGATGACAGAGCCCTAAAGGAAGATGCTCCATGTCTCCAATCACCCTAAGTTGGGGGGAGGGGGCAGGAGCTTTTGGGAGTCAGGGCACCTGGCAACGTGAGAAAAACCACTTGCAATTGTGTTAAATGTTGGTTTGCATGAGCCAAATATCTTTTTATGTTCTTGGCAAGAAAGCTTATAAAACAGAGCAGGGAGGGACCCTGAACAGCCAGCCTCATCAGCAGATGAGGGAGGGTGAGTGGAGGGAGGAGGGCGCCAGGAGAGAAGGGGCTAGAAAGAAGAGCTGAAAACAGCCATGGCCCATAACTGAAGGTTGTCTAAATAGTCCTCGAGTCCAGTTTCCCCGTGGCCTTAAGGTGTGTGTGTGGAGGGGTGCAAACACACTGGAAAGATGGTGTGGACCCCATGGGTGCTGGTGTCAGGACCTAAGTCCCAGTCTTGTGTCGAACACTGATGAGGTGAATGAACTGGGAGGGCCACCTAAGCTCTCTGAGCCTTCGCTTCCTGTGTGGTAATGAAGGGGAGAACACTAGTGCTTGCCTCACGGTGGTAAAAACAGTTAACAGGTGGTTCCTTTTTTTTAACAGTTTATTGAGATATAGTTCACATACTATAAAATTCACATCTACCTGGCTCCATATTTTCCTTGGACCAGCACTACAAGGGTGTGTTCTTTTCATGTCAAATAGCAGGAGCTGAGGAAGCTGAGCAGAGACATATGATGCCCCTTGGGGCCTCTTGGGTCATTCCTGCCCACACTCCACTGACCACAAAGCCAGTCACACGGTTACGTTGACATCAGTGGCAAGAGGTAGGAGGCTCGTGCTAATGGGAAGGGCTGCAAAGTCACATGGCAAAGGGTGTGACTGTAAAATTCTACTGCCGGAAGGATCTGAAGCCTGGTGAACAATGGCACGTCCTATGACTGAGGACAAGAAATGCCTAGACATGCAGGATGAGTGGGTTTTGGTCCCCCAGGGCTTCCCAGGAGCCCATGCTTTTCTTTCTTTCTTTCTTTTTTTAAAAGATTTTATTTATTTGACAGAGAGAGACACAGGGAGAGAGGGAACACAAGCAGGGGGAGTGGGAGAGGGAGAAGCAG